GTTGGACTCACCAGTCCCTTAGAGGGGTTTTTTTTTGAAATCCAAGAGCACTCAATTCCTCATAGTTGTCAAGAGTCTATAATAGAAATATATGATTTTTAACTTTATGGCTTTTTTCCAGCCAATTCACCAAATTCACCTAGTTGTTAGGATAAAAAATTGCACAGTAAATAGAATATTAAACACATATCATCCACAAGATAACAGACAACAATTTCCTAACGTCTTCGCTTCTAATTCTAGGGTTTATAGGCAAAACTTTAAAACTATAGTTGAAAAATGGAAAACAAGGAAGTAATTACAAACACAAAAGCTTTGATTTTCTTGCTTTCCCACACATTTCTATCACCAGTGTTAATGTGACTTTTCTTTGATCCTAGATTACCCTTTGATAGTTTTCCACTGTAAAGGATTGGAGGAAAATACTAACATTGATGGAAGAGGGAGAGAAAATACAAAAGAAGGGCCTTGGGGGAAATTAAGCGAGTGCTGTGATGGAAAATAATATTAGCACTGTTTATAATGTCGGTGTTAAGGAGGATAAACCTCTATATAACCATGATAATTAACATCATAGTAGGAAAGTTTTAATCCTTAGGCAGTAGTGCTTCTCTATGCTTGCTTTTGTTGATGTTGTGGAGTTTTTGCTTCACATAAATATCCTATTTAAATACCATGATTTATTAAAGAATACAATAACCATATCTTTAATCTACTTTTAAATCAATTTTTCTGCATGGAATATAAAAAAGGAATACAAAAGTATACATATTTGATTAGTGCCAAAACCCTAGCTTATATACAAAAGCAAGTGGTCCGGATTGACAACAATCTGATAACTATGAAAATCCCACTTTGTTAATATTAGTATATGGCATTGTAGCCATATGCTTCGAACTCACACTAATAAAACTTTTACAAAGGAAAAAAAAATTAAAAAAGGAATATTTAATGCTTTTATAAGTTAGATTAATAGATGGATGACTAAGATCTTATGATTTCTATTACATTATTATCCATTTATAATCAATAGACTACATAACTCATAAAAATCATTAAAATCACATTATTTAATTTTTTTAAAATTATTTTTTGATATTTTTCCATTCTAGTAAAATATATCTAAAAAGTGCTTTCTATTTTACATCTTAAAATCTGGATTTTGTAAGCTCCTAAATATGTACTTCCTAGTAGGTCATACATCCCAGTAGTACTTAAAATAACTCCATGGTATCTTAACACCATTAATTGATTGAAAAAATAGTGTACTTTTATTTATAGATCTTTCCCTTTTATTTTAAAACTCTAAAAAATTATTCTCAACTTGTTCCCTTTGGTTTCTTACAGATTACTTGCTAGTATAAAAATAATGTAAAATTTAAATTATAGATATATTTAATAAAAATATTATTGTAAACTTTAAATTTTTAAAAATTTAAAACATTTTAAAAATTTTAATTTTAATTTTATAATAATTAATAATTTTTAAATATGACAATAATAAGAAATATACAAATTTGTAAGCTTGTATTTTTAAAAGATTAATTTAATGCTTATATAAATTTCACAATTTCAAAGTAAAAGAGTTAAATATTCGATATATTCTAATTAATTTTTCTTTAATTTAATTATGGAAAATTTTATTACATATATTGTAAAACATACTGTGAAAGTTTTAAAATTAATTGGTATGTTGAGAATTTTAAAATATCATCACTTCAATGTTGTTTAGATAAAATATATATTACCATCAGCTAATGCAATTGTAAAAAATTAGTAGTTGTAAACCAGTCTGGTATTATGTTTTAAGAATACCTTTATATTGTGTCTGTAACTAAATATATATTTATTTATAATAAACATATAATAGTGAAAGTAATAAATCTTTATTACAAATAACAATTGCTTTAAATATTAGAATTCTTGTAGTAAGACATTGTGAACTAATTTCATAGATTTTAAGAACCCATAAAAAATAAACTTGCAACATAAAAAATAAATAAAGAAAAATGTCAAAGGCTTAATGTAAAGAGGAATATGGAAAATTCTCAATTTAATCAGTAGGAAATTTTATTTATAATAGCCAAACGAAGACAAGTGTTTCTGCTATAAATTTTCTATATGATAGTATCTAAAAGAGTGCTTGTGTGTGGAGGCTGGTAAAAAGTTGCAATGCTGATCTATCTATCAAACAAAGTGCAAGAAATTGCAGACGTGAAGGCAAGTCTCTCGCCAATTGTTACAAACTCAATGGCCTTCAGACTCTCGTTCACGATTTGAAGCTTTCTTTGATGCTCAGGTACAGCAATCTTACAAGTTTTATTGTTCACGACATGCAGAAATTTAGTTTTTTCCCATACAATGGTAACAACTTTGACAGTCTGGAAGGAGGTAAAACCTGACAGGGCAAGCCTCTTCAGACCTTCTAGACCAAGTCAAATGGCTTTATACCATATAGAATAACTGGAGGTGCGTACATATTAGCTCCTGAGTTCTTGCTCTAAGGTGGTGTCGTGTTCTCGGGTTAGAAAGTCAAACACCTTCGCTATCCAAACTACGTAAGAATCTTATTTTCCTGAGATGGATTTGTTATTCTATTTTCTAATCAAGTTATGAGGACAAAATATCAGGAATACTTGCAAACGTACAAGGACAAGTCTAGAGATTGCAAATACTCGGCCTACATGGTAAAGTTCACGAGTTTTTCAAGGGATGCCTTGGCAAGCGGCCGTGCTGCCAAGCCCTAGCGTGCTCTAGGTATCATCTTGTTGCTAGGACCAAATTCGGATCTCGGACCTTTCTAAATTTGAACATTAAATCATCATTTTTACAGCTAAATCAAAGAAAATTATATGAAAAAAAACTATCAACTATTCTGCTGCTCTGCTCGATCAAACTTGTCACTGCTCTTTAGCTGCTTCCCCTTTGCTTTTTGAAGCTGGTGCTGGGCGAACTTAAAACTTCGATTTTTCAACCTGCTGGCCCTGCTTGGTTTAAGAAATTTTTTCGTCTTTAAGCTGCTCAATCTTTGCTGCTCGATCTTAGCTGTTTCAGCCTGCTCCCTTTCTCTCCAAGTTTTAAAATCATCTTACGCTTTTCCATTCCCACTTGCTCGATTCTTATGATCTCTGACGCTGGGTTTTATCTTTCGCTGCTTCAAGTCCTGCTCCACCCTCATTTACATATTCTTCTGGCGGCCTCCTATGATCTGGACCAAGTTGGCAGTCAGACTATTTTCCAAATAGAAAAGAAACACAATCTCTCAAGGTTGTACTCACAAGTTGGCCAGAATAAGCAGCTCCTTAGCGTAGTCTCTGAGATGTTTTATTTATTTAGTCTCAAAGAGACTGCCTCCTACGATCTGGACAAAGTTGGAGCTCAGAAGATATTCCACCAGAGGAGAAAATTAAAAAACAAAAAAAATACCATAGGATTTGTTGCTGATACTAAAGGAGCTACAATTTGTGTGTCGCTGCAGCTTGCTTCTTCTGTTTAACAACACGGATGAAATGAATGGAAGAGGAAAAAAAGAATGACTATACGTACCCTCAGTCCACATTTCTCGATTGTAAAGGTGGCCATTGAACCTCTGAATCGCTTTGCACCAGCTTCCACGTTCCATGAAACTCGTCCGATCTTCTGTCTTTATGACTGTTGCTTCGTCTTAGAGTTCACTCCAGCTCTTGTAGTCTCCGCATGTCAGGGGCGAACATCAGCCGTTTTTCAGTCTTTGTGAAGCCGAACCTCTGGCTCCACCGCCACAAGCAGTTTCTTCGAGTTTGAGATCATCTTGCCAACATCATCTTCTATCATCCAAGCACCTGTAAGAGCGATCCTGGACAGCATTGAAGCTCTTGTCCCGTTTCCGTCAACTAGAGAGCTTTGTCTTGATCCGTCTTGGCATCTCATCTTCTCCTTCATCTCGCCGCCGACGTGATGGACTCTGCTCCACTCGGCTGGCTGACTGCTCCGATCTCGGGCACTGTCTCGGCGAGCTCCGCTTGAGAAGCCCAGATCTTGACAAAATTATCTGCTATCTCCCGATTGATCAAGACTTTGGAGTCAAGGGAGGATATCTCCTCGACGAGGTTGATCTTCTCTTGACTTAGAAGTGTGGAGACTGGTCTCTGGCGCTTTGGAGGCTTGCTACTGCTTCCCTGTGCTGCTCGAGCTGTCAGTACTTGGCTTGCATCTCTGTTCTGGATTTGACTCTCGAGAGCTGGTTACTTCTTGAACTTCCATTCTCGTTTCTTCAACGTGCTTAGAACCTCTGCCAGTTAGGGAATGCTTCCGCCACTTCAGGCCTTGATCGTGCTGAGAAGCTTGAGCGGAAGCATGCAAAAACACAGCTTCCTGCGAAGCCAGATGCTCCTTCTTGTCGCATGTAGCGTCCATCTGATCCGTCAAACCTCTGGAGCTCGGCGCTCCATGCGCTCTCACATCGGTTCTCCTCGGCTTGTCTTCATCCTTCAGAGCTCCTCACCCAAAGCTTTGCTTTGCATCTGGCACGTCTCTCTCTCCTCCAGCGCCTCGAGTCCCATGATCCTCTCCATCAGCTGCCAGTTACTTGCTTCTCCAGCCTCGCCTTTGCACTTCCAAACTCCGCCATCACGTGCTCTCGCCGAGAGCTCCACCTCGTGCAGCGGATTCGACTCCGTCAGCCATTATCCCCTGGGGCTTCTCCTTCAAGAACTCCTGTCCGAACACTTCCCTCATTCCACCAGATGACAGAGAACGTCTAGCGTAGTCTGTCTTATAGTCTCCGCAGCCATCCGAAACCCCAGTCACGAGCAGCTTCAGCTATATCGTCTTCTCGCCATCTTGCAGCCATCTGGCACTGGTTTACGTCGTTCCTCACTACTATCATGGACAGCCTTACCGTAGCAGGCGCTCCTGAATCATCTCCGTCCACTGGAAAGCTGATAAGATAGATCCCTCCTTGCTCCAGCCACTGTAGAGTGTAGTCCAACTTGATCCATTGATCTTCTCTTGACTTAGAAGAGTGTGGAGGCTGGTCGCTGGCCTGTTTAGACGCCTGAAGTGTGATGGACTTCTCCGCCTGGAGCCCTGAGACACGGTTGTCACGCACTGCTTTCACGTCTTGGACAGTTGCAAATCTTTGGAGTCGAGTCCTCGAGAAGGTCGATCTTCTCTCGACTTAACTGGTCTATAGCTTTAGTGGCCTCCTCCTGTGCTGCTCAACTTGCTTGGAGATCCAACTTCTGGATTTGACTCTTGAGAGTTGGCTTCTCCGATGCTAGAGTCCGAGCACTGGCCTCCAGTTGACCAATCCTTGCAGCCAACTTCTCGAGCTCGGAGCCAACTTCATTTCTCGTTTCTTCGACGTGCTTAGAACAGTTTGCTCGTGTTCTCTTCTCAGGTAAACCCAGGGTCTAGTCGTCTTAGAGTTCGCTCCAGCCCGGCCGATCATCTTCTCGCCATCATGGTTCCGACAAAACAAACACTCATCGTTCACTTCAGCTCTCTACAACAAACACGGAAGTTATGGCCATCTGGAATCTGGAAGGTATATCAAACTTACCTGTCTCCTCTTGAATTCTGCAACAAAATCTCTCCCCGCACGATCATATAGTTCTTTTGCCTCCTTCACGAAGACCACCTCGCCGGACTGAAGCTTCTTCCACGGTTTCCTCTCACTCGGGATCCTATCCAGCATTTTCTGGAGCCTCATCATCTTCCGCGCTCGCTTGATCCTCTCTCGGTCGCTGGATTTGCCGTTGAGCTCCTCGTAAAGCTGCTCGGTGAGTCTGATCAGAATCCGGAGCGCGCTAACACTCCAAGACTTTTCCTCGTGCTTCTCCTCTTCTGTTTCCTCGCGCTTTTCCTCTTCCAAGCTGCGGATCTTCTTCTCGGTTTTTCCCCTCTGGTTTAGCCACCGGTTTGCCTTGTGGAAAGCTTCGAGATACGCGAACTCAACATAGCCCCCTCGGCCATCGCTAAGATGGGTTTCACTCCGCCGTCGGGTGCCGTCGGGAAGAATGTCCTCCGCTGAGGAAGAGAAGCGAACCATCTTCGGCCTGGAACCTGCAAGTCCAGAAGGCCATCGTGAGTCACAGTAGAAGAAGAATGCGAGAAGCAAAAGGAACCATACCTGGACGACGACCCCCGGCTGGCAGTAGAATTGGCTTGGGTCGCTGCTCCTCCTGCTTGGGCTTGTCATTCTCCTGCTGCTTCATCTTCTCTTGATCGTCTTCCCGTTCCAGAGGCTTCTTGATCGGCTTGATCATCTGCTCCTCCTCTTGTTCCAGCTGCTGCTTCATCGGCTTCATCCGCTGCTCCTCCTCCTGTTCCTGCTCTTGCTTGATCGGCTTGATCGGCTTGATCGGCTTGATCGGCTTGATCGGCTGATTCGGCTGATTCTTCTCCTCTCGTTCCAGCTGCGGCTGCTCCTTGTGACCTTGCTCCTGTTTCACCTCGCGCCTGAGTTCCTTCGTCTCATGGGCTTCTTTCTCCTGCTCCTCCTCGCTCAGCTGCTCAGCTTTCTTCTCTTGCTCCTCCTCCTTCAGCTGCTTCTCGGCTTCCTTTTCCTCCTCTTGTTCCAGCTTCATCGGCTTCATCTGATCGGCTTCTTTCTCCTCCTCGTTCACCTGCTCGGCTGTCTTCTCTTCCTTCAGCTGCTCCGCTTTCTTCTCTTGATTCTCCTCTTCGTCCTCTTTCTCTTGTTCCGGCTTGATCGGCTTGATCGGCTCCTTGTGCCCTCGCTCCTGTCGTATCGCTTCTAAGACGATTTTCACCTCGTGCCTGAGTTCCTTCAACTTCAAGGCGGCGGCGTCCATGGCTTCTCCCGAGACGGCCTCACAGACACGATCTTGGACCTTCAGCTTCGAGGCCGCCGCGTCCATGGCTTCCGGGTGGACCTTGTTGTCGCCCTTGTGCGCCTTTTTTGGTCGAAAGAGAGACCACAAACCTGTGACGCATCCACTGCGCTCCTGCTCTGTTCGCGCCATAGCTTGCCCTTTGCAAAATGCCTTTAATGCCCTAACCCTTACTAAATCTATTTCACATTAATGTATAAATTAGTAATTGCCTAGCATTTGCAAACACTTTATAGTTTTTAAAAATTAAGTTGGAATAGTATCAAAATAGCAATTGGTGTGTTTGAGGAAGTAACTACAAACATGTAGGAAACTATCAGATCCCAGAAGCTATCTATATAACTACAAAATCCCATTACAAACACATAGAATAAACATTATAAAATCAATTACCTCCTACAATGCTACAAGACACTTTGGCTGGAAGTGTGCTTATGAATGTCTGGATCTAGCCACATAAAAGTTTGAAAGACAAAGGAAATCGTGAGAGTGTGCTGGTGGCAATAAAGAGATTGGGGAGCTATGAATCACAGCACTCTAGAAGCAATCCAGCAAGAAAATTGAAGATATGCAAACCTGGCATTTGCAATCGGTTTTGCACAGTGAAATCATAACCCTGAATTACTACTCTCAAGTGAGTCTACAACTTGATGGCAGAAGTAGAGAGTTTGGTCAACATGAACGATTTCTTCTCTCGGCCCTGGAGCTTGGACTTGGACCTTGTTTTCGCCCCTTTTTTCAAACCTGTGACGCATCCACAGTGCTCCTGCTCTATTCGCGCCTAATGCCTTTAATGCCCTAACCCTTACTAAATCTATTTCACATTAATGCGTTCGTTTAGTCTAATCCACATTTTTCGGCAGTCTATCCCGGAAGATGTTTACACACTCTCATCTCTCAAGTATCTAGACGTGAGTAGAAACCAGCTCCAGGGACTTGTTCCGGAATGCTTCCAGCTTGAGAGTGCTGATCAAACCAGCTACAGTATACCATCTGACCTCAGTAAACTTCCATAAGAAAACAAAGAAACAATATAGTAAATAAACAGTCTTTATGCATTTTCTTTGTTGGTGAATGTTTAGATGCTTACCCTAGATATGCCATTCTTGACATCCAAACTTCCTGACATGACAAAATTTCAAGAGCATTGAATTTACAAGGTAAATGCATTCTCCTTAAAGCTTATTCTTTATGTCATGCAGGAAAATGCAAGTCAATTTTGGTCATGTTTGCTATTGAGCTGCATCTTATTACCAAGCACACATACTTCTGCCATGTAATGCATGTGATTATAGGATGAGATTTGGATATATTGTCACCGTGGATCTTTGGAACCTTGGGGATAAATGGGGATAAAATAGCCATTAAAGGGCTCTCTCATCAAACAATTGCTCTTTTTCCAATTGGCTTAAGGGGAGAGAGATAAGGTGTGCTACAGTTGGTATCGGAGCAAATGGCATGGGTTCAATTCTCATTGATTAGTAGTTACTTAAAAATACAATATATCTTTGAACAAGGTATCGTACATATTGCCCTTGAGCAAGGTATTGCATACATCCTTCCTCTTGTGTAGGCTCAGTAGGGGTTGCTAGTTATTGTATGTATTGGGCAATGTGTACGTCCTTCCTCTTGTGAGCTTGTATTGTATGTATTGGGCAATGCATACGTCCTTCCTCTTATGTAGGCTCAGTAAGGGTTGCTAGTTAATAGTCAATGAGGACATTGACATCTCTGAAGGGGGGGGGGGGGGGGGGGGGTTTTAACACATATAATCACCGGGGATCTTTAAAACCTTGGGGGAAAAATGGG